TTGGTGTTCGCTAGCAGTGCTGTCGGTTTTACGGGCGCCTCTGTGGGAACGTGTGTCACGCCGGTCATGCGACACCCGATCGCTGCTGCCTCCTTCTTCCGTGGGTGTTGGCTGCCGGCCCTATGTAACTTCTTTCGCCCCGTTCTCAGTGGATGTGAGCCTAGTACGGTGGACGGGTTTAAATCGATGGATCGGTTTAGTGTGCCCGTCGATGACCAAGTTTCCAGCACTAATCTGGCCATTTTCTCATCGGCCCTGCCGATTACTCTCGCTTTCTCAAAGGCGAAATTGTGGTTCAGCTGCTGCACGTGACGTGATGCATATATATGATTTTATAAGAGCATCGAAAATCCATAGCAAAGGTCTTACTGTTTAAGTATTCATTTTTTCGAGTATGATTTTTCCTGGCATATGGAAAGAATTTCAAATAAAATCTAACATCCTAGGGTGGCTCAAATACATTGGGATTGCGACGCATGATAATCAATTTTACAACCCTTCGTAGATAATCCTTTCCGATCAAAAAGCGTTTCAGCGTTTCGCTTAATATTTCATTAGAGAGACCAAGTACTGTCGATTAATGTCTGGAAGGGATTTCAGCAGACACATCTTTTCGAAGAAATTATAACAGTCTTTTATACGCACCGATATGAAGGGTGCCATGCCAGCTGACGCGATAACATTTGGAACCAGACTGCCCGTACTCCACGGACCCTTTGCTCGATGACCACATTTGAAATGTAACCCAACCTTTTTTTAGCAAGTTTTGCACTAATTACCAAAAAAATCAAGTCATGGATTACTATTTTGCAGCCATTGCGGTTTACCACTAGCATACGTCGAGGCCAATTTTTAATTTGATCCGTTCAGGCTTTTGACCCAATGTTGACCGACTGACAGGATGTCGTTTTGCGTACTTGGATTTACTAAATTGGTGTGCTTTGAGTGAAACAGCACTCACAAAATACATTTACATTGATGTTTTACTTCTAGTGTCAGCGCCACAACTTCGGAGGTCCAGTCTGTGGACCGAAACCAACGTACGAGAACAAACGCGAATTCACGGATACGCAGTTAAACGCCTCAAAGACCATCATCGGGCTGCAGGCCGGTTACAACAAAGGTGCTAACCAATCCGGTCTCAGCTTCGGAGCCGGCCGTCATGTGGCCGATCTCAAGGTCGACGAGATGTCCGCTGGAGGCAAGACTGCGATTGGTTTGTTGGCAGGATTCAACCAGGGAGCCAG